TATATACTATACTACTATACATACATAATATATATAACATATATATATATATATATATATATATATGTATATATATATATATATATATATATATATATATATGGGTAGGAGCACGTGCACTGTCTTGCAATGTTGATCACATAAAAGAAGACACCTCACCTACTAACATTACAACGAGTAAAAACAGTATATGTATTGTACGAGATAGGGCAGGTGTTTACGCCTATACGCCGTTCGTATGTGTACAAACGTATATACATTATTAATAAGAATATGGTTAATTCAAAATTTGAATATAGATTCAGCTCGTAAGCGCATCACACACGATCCAAATCAAAAATTAACAGGTACCACCCTTAGTATGCGAATACCTTTTATGCGCACATGTTAACATCCTTTCCCGATTTTAGAACCAAACGATAATAATGACATACGTTCAGTATACATTCATGTCACGCGGGATAGTAAAACACACACCCCTACCTGGATTGTTGACGCAGAGGTCCGACCATTCGTGCACTCTCTGAACAAGTTAATTTGCTGCACGCGGCATTGCATCGACTAGCCACACCAACATAGGCCGCTGGTCTCAGGGTAGCCATGATGGTTGTGCGGCCCGTATAATCCACTAGGGAAGGTTTGAGAGGTCGAGAAGGGACGAGATGGCACACACACGAGAAGGATATCTTCTTGCTGATAGAAATACAAGTACATATATTGGTACTGAATTTAGACTCACTTGTTGATATACACATACATACGGACACTCATTTATTTTGAAAATAAGCCGCAGGGTTGTCCATGCGAATGCCCCACTGGAATTATTTGTACAGTTCGGTACTCGACTGTACGGAAGTACAAACTCTTGTACATTCTGTAGGGATTTGTGTCAGGTCTCTTGGGTTTAGGGTTTAAACATATTCAGGGTTTTGACTAAAACGGCTATGGGCCTAAACTCCTAAAGCTCGATGCATTTCGCGTTGAAACGTCTATACTTTCCATAAATATACGTTAAATCTTATTGGCCCTATGGCTTCCGCTATCGGTGCATATTTGGAGCCTTAAGGTTCAATGGTTATATATTTTTCATTATATATGTCCGTTTTAGTTAAAAAATAGGTCAGCTGTCTTTTTTATATCTTTCGGTCTTTCCTGTGTATTTATTTTTTTGTAAAAATAAATAGATAAATAAATTTAAAATGTATTGGCGGAAAAAGCTCTCATTTTCCACCATTTTCCGTTGTGATTGTATTTTAATAAATACATTGTACAGAGTCAGTCAGTGCAGTTGTGTACAACGTGTTCCAAATAATTTAGCCATATCTTACAAAGGTACATATCTATTAGTATGTATACGTTTTTCTTATTTGTTAGCTAGAGACTGTGCCGCTAGAGTTTATTCAGTCGCAGTGTTGATTGCGAGCCTAAACTGTTCATGGTCAATACTTCCACGATCACCACTCAACGAGGCGCAACAACGATTACAGTGACGGAGATGGGGATTAATCGGTTGTTTATATCGTGAGCAGTGCACAGCTATGTATTACTTTGAGCCATTCGAATAATGCAAGTGTATATACAGAGGCGACTGTCGTTGATGGCATGTTTGTCGAATGTATCTGACCTTCTGTTTAGTAGATAACGGTTGACTGTCCGAGCGAAAGCCTGTGATCATTGTTTCTTTGTAATGGACACGGCGAGAACTTGAAATTCGTTGGCATTGGTAGAAGCAAGTATAGTAGCATTGATAGAAGCAAGTATATCATAAAGAAGAGTCACTTTTCACTACAGTCAAGTAAAACTCGTGCAACTATTATCAGCGAGGCAGGGGTCACGTCATTCCGCGGCGAGTTCGTCTCAGCGCTATTGTCTAATACATTTAATCGAGCTAAACTGTTCCTAATAAATCCCATTCAGCTTGATGGCAGCGTGTTTCTTCGGGGTGCTTGTTACAATATATATCTTTGTTCAAATTGCCCTTTCAAGCGAGCGGAATTCACTGCTGCACGGCTGAGCCATCAGAGCCCAATTCTATACAACTGACCTCCTGCCGAACATCGCATATAATGATGCTTTTGGCGAATTTCAAATCGGCGTTCCATTCAAAATTTCGCGAAGTTTAACTATGTATAGTCAGGGGATATTGTAAATTATTCATGCTCGAGGTGGAAAGAAATTAGGTGTTCAATATTACAGATCTAATTGTAAAATATATCGTGCACGTTACAAGTAGTGGGGATGAATCTGCAATGGTGGTGCAAAGGGCAACAGTTAGAACCGGACGCTGAAAAAATTACACGTGAAAGGGGTTTACAACTAGTTCTGTATCCTATACCAAATGTGTTATCATTCTAAACACAACTTAATTGTGACTATACAGAGCACTTAATTGTGCGACAATATTCCTATCGTTTGTTGAAATGAAACTTAGCTGCACATCGCAGCCGTGGTGTCTGTACTATGACTCAAATCCAAGGACCAGTGGCAGGGCCAAAGAAACGATACAATGATCAAATTCACTGCGGTTATGGAGATTATCAAAGCACTGGGTAGAGATCCGAAAAAACTGCATAAGCTGTGGAGTGTGGATCAATTAACTTTCAATACTATTTAAAAGAAGCAGGAAGGGGGATTAGATTTTGAGAATTGCTGCTCTCACGGCGAAGACAACGAGCAATTTGGTTTGCACCGATGTAGAACTGATCATATCCGGAGGCGAAGCTATGCTTATCTTCTGAATCATTGACTATATATGTATGCCAGGTACATATACAACATATAAAAATCACAAAACAATGCAAATAAATGGCTGCTGAAGTATTGAGAAGTATTTACATATTTATGGTAAAAGGTGTGAATGGAGAGGGAAGTGTTCTATGAGCCTAAATATCATCAGTTCGTGTCACGTTAATATGTTTTGAAATCAATCGTTTTCGCGAATAAAGCTAATAAATGAATATGATATATTTCTAGTAACATAGGGTCGCACTCCGACTTTAGAAAAATTAAAAGTTTGCCTCCATACAATTGCCCCATTCAATATTGAGTGTAAGCTCACTTCACTTATGTCTACCGGCTAAGCCCTTTTGTTAGCTATTGTAGACGATCAAAATCGACAGAAATAGTTCCAATAGTTGAGCCGTCACTACAAAACCCTTATCCGTCTTCGGATTTTTAATTTTTGGTGCGTCGTTGACCGCACGCATACACGATATATAAATGTATATATGCATTCAAGTCCCGCGTAATGGTGCGTCCCGTTTTTTTTTAAAGCTGATGACAAAAAATTCTTTCTATGTACACATCTACTAAGATAGAGAGGTGATATTACATTTTAGTTTAGAGTCACTGACATGGCCTCCTACATTGAACATCACTGACAAAGTTTAGCGTTCCGTATATGTATGTATTTATTTAGGGTTTTAATTTGTAACCATTAGAACGTTTATATAAGGGTCAAAAGTCTGCAAAGCAAACCGCCCAATATTTGAATTAAACGGACATCTTAGACTGCAATCCACTGAGATTTTTGAACCTTAGGGCTTTCAATAGCTGCCATAATAAGTTAATAACAACCAGAGGGCCGCCACGATACACGTTGGGAATATATAAAAGCCATTCAAACTTACGTTTTAACGCAAAACGTATTTGGGTATGCACACTTCTGACCTCATGGAGGCCTGGCTCGTGCCAATTGCCATTCAAGGACAAATTACCACATGGTAATTTATAATAATAAAAAACCCAGATTTATTGGAGTCGTGAGAATCGTAAATCAAAACAAAGTTTAATTCAATCACTTCGAAGTGTAAATGATTGTCCAATGAAAAACAATTGGAACTTTCCTTTTACTTGGTTTGGAATTTCAATACAATCATCGAATCATACCGTGTAAGTAAAATAATAATTATGTATGTAAATACTATGAGTGCGAGAGAGAGAGAGAGAGAGAGGGGAGGGGGGGGGGGAGGTAGATCTGTAAACAGATTATACGAGTCTAAAATAGTCATAGATGAACAAGTTAAACAACATGTATCATTCGGTCCAAGGACCAGCCCCGCCCAGAAGGCCGCGATGTTACCGATCTTTAATCTTTGGACCAATAGGGCTGTTAAAACTGCAAACTGGCCGGTGTACTGCCAGTTGTTCTCCCTGCTGATCATATCAGATATCAGATTCTACTCTTTCGGAGAGTGTGGTGTTTACCATTACTTTTCACCGTTTGAAGACGAAGGTGACTGGTTCTGTAGCAAATTCATATTCAGACATATACCGGATGGCGGGTTGATATTCACTCGCTCCGTACACTTCGAAACACCAGACAGGTTGATCGCAGTTTGTTTCGCGAGGACTAGTTATCCGAATTATAGCTACATACCTATACATAGCTACATATTTATTAATATTTCTAGCTTCGCAGAATCGTACACTTGCGCCAAACACTGTCCTGATTGTATCATACACAACTCAAATATTCACAACAATTATAGTCGTAAGCTTTCTGCAACGAGAATAAACTATGCTACCTTTGGTTGTATTGACGAACATTCTATGCTGGGCTGCTGTGGCTGGTATGTATCTATCACAAGTGGCTGTGTGGTGTTCTCGGAATGTATCTGTTATGGGTTTGTATTGGTAGACCTTGCGTAACGCATCGAGTATCGTTGTATGACGCGCATCACTTTATGCGATAGGGTTCTGAATAGCTTTACAGTTATTGTTCGAGACGAATTCGCCACGAGCCTACGATGCGTCTTGCTTTGCTGCGGATGAATTTCGGCAGACAGCTAGTGGTAGGAGATTGAAGACGCCTTTTGTTCTTGTTCAGCCAAAATATTCGGTTCACCATTAATTGTGAGAACGAGGGTATCTCCGATTAGTTTATAGATTTTATATGATAGTGAACACCATTTTTTGAGCATACATTTCAACGATGCATCATTGTACATCCGCATATTTTAGCAATTCTAACGCGAGTACATCCAGGAACAATTATCAGTGAATTGCCGAAAACGCGCGAGTGCAATGTATTGTCGAATGCTTTTACCTCACAATTTGGTTGGCTGTTCCGCAGCTATACGGTTACACGCAGATGTGAAACAGTTCAAAGCTCAGTAGGACTGAAGAAATATAATGACTGCCCAATTTCAAACTCTCGATGACTCGAAAAAGAAAATTTTATAATCCAAAGTTTCAAAAGCCTGTAAATGCATGACATTGACATTCTGTGAACATGCCAAATTCTCTTCGCACAGAAAGTGCAAAGGTGATAAGAGAAGGCCCGGGATTGTCGTGGGTGACCGTTCCTGCTGGCGTGTCGTGGATAAACCGGGCGTGGTGTCCGAAAAAGAGCAACAATGAGGAGCAGAGCTGCCAGAAACTGGACATTCCCCCAAATGACGGGACAGGGGGGATTGTCAATGTGGACATGTTTGACACGACGACAGAGGCCATCATAGATATCCGGACTATGGGGTATGTGTGTAGTCTGTAGGACCGCATTGGCTCACTCACACCAGCATATGATAAGCCCCAGTGGTACTCGAGGAGAGTTTGGTCTTGTCTGTGTATGTATGCCAATAGCATGCATGATTATACGGCCCACACAAGAACATTAGAATCTCCGACTGAATGAAAGCGCTACAATCTCTGTCATGGCACAGGTACACAGTCATGTGCTACATCTCAGCGGGGACGTACGAAGACTGGAGGGCCGACTCGGTCGACTTCCCAACTGAACTAAAGGGACTGAAGATGAAAAACTGGGATGAAAAGTGGCTGGACATTCGCACGACCAATCCATACCACAACTATCTCAAGGCGCTGATGCAGAACCGCATTATCACGGCCGCTAACAAAGGGTGGGTATCGCATTAGCTGTGTACATGCGTGCCGTGTACCTGAATCGTACTATTGGTCCCTTTGTGTAATCTTGTTAATGGTCCCCTTTGTGTAGTCTTTTTAATGGCTGCTTTGGGTAGCCCTTTTAATGGTTGCTTTGTGTAGTCTTTTTAATGGTCGCGTTGTGTATCGTTGAATGTAGGGTTGCCAACCTCTACGCCAGGGATTTGGTAGGTAACGTCAATCGTGGTGACCAGTGCTTTGTTCTGTCCTGACTGCGAACTATCCTCTACGCTTAGAAAATATAACCTTGGTGTTTTAGCATTATTCTTTGTGTTTATGGCTGGCTCCCTCCTGGTAAATATAACCAGGACTAAAGGCACTTAAACATATGCAGTTATGGTGTAATACATTCTGCACCTATTTTTATGTTTGGGGCTAGAGCTGTCCTCTACGCTCGGCAAATATAACCAGGACTGAAGGCACTCACGTTTTCGCAGATATGGTGTAATACATTATGAACTTATTTTTATGTTTGGGACTGTCTCCCTGCAGCCCTTCCGGGCGAGACATTGATTGGAGTGCTTTTATCGCCAAGAATCAATATAAAAAACCAGTGACAGTATCCATTTAGAAGATATGCTATGTACGTCTTGCTAATAAGGCCTCTGTATGGGCTATATATAACATGTACCTGCCTATATGCTGTTTATATGTCGACTCTAACTGCAAGCACATACTCAAAACAACAATAAGCATTCATGCGCATATACGAGAACACGTCAAACACTTCGTCGCATGCAAACCAGTTTAAAAGTGTACAGCCATATCAAACACACCCACTGACATGACATGCACGCCGGAACCCCCTAACCACACCAGCTGCCAAATTCTGGAGTATGATAACCTCGATTGCTGGTCCAACAACTGTCTCAGTGGCATCCAAAGCCGAGACGATGGGATGTTCCAGAGTCAACTGCAGTACAACACATGGCTGGCAGAGACGGCCCATCAGGTACTGGACTGAGTCGTGTTGATTGTCTTTGTTTCGGTGTGGGCAGCTCCATATGTAACGGGGGGGTGTGGGTATAAGGAGAGTGCTGGTCAACGTATCTATAGATTAGTGGCAGTGCGTGGTATGGTATGCTTAAAGGGTTCGGCCCTGTCCTAGCATCGAGGTTCAAGGGCAGGGACATTGCACACAGACCAATCTGCTGCTACACCGCATAATGCGTCTCCTGGGGGTTGTGTTTTCATTTGTCTCTATATATGCACGAGTGCCGTGCCTTTGAATCCCAACTCAATGGAACACGATGTCTCGTATATGCGAAGGACGATACTGATATCCGAATGACGTTACTATCACTAACTCCCATGATGTACAAATAATGTTACTTCACTAACTCTCATAATGCCCAACTGTGACTTCCATCAGTACGGTATGGGTGCGGCCTTGAAGAATGATCTGAGTCAGGCCGAACTGCTCGAGCCCTACTTTGATCTGGCCGTGAACGAGGAGTGCTACTACTACAACGAATGTGATAAGCTACAGCCTTTCATTGAGAATAACAAGGTAGGGGTGGGGTACATCTGTGAGCACTATGGCTTGCATTCACCCTTTTATTGTAAACAGCAGGGTATAGTTTAGCTATGGCAGAGTGTAATTATACGGATACAACCTTTAATTGTGGACAGCACGCTATAATTTTGATATGACAGTCAACACTATTGTTTGAACAGTCTTGTTGCTGTGGTGCATCGATTGGTTGAGATTGAGGTTACTGCATTCTAAGTGCTTACAAGCATGTGTTACTAGGAAGGCCTATTAGAAGGCCTATTTCAAACACTGTACCATTCGTAATGACGGTGGTAGTGAACACTGAGAAACCTAGCCAGTATTTACGTATCTGTTTTTGAGCTGTGATGTGCTGCTGGAAATATTGAAACGATTTAGGTTAAAACGTATCGTTTTGTGAAGACTCTAATCCACTACTAGTTCTCGCGTATTTCCAAGTAGGTTCTAGATATATCGCGGTTTGGTGTTGGCTTTGGCAGTGGTGGGGTTGTTGCGCCTTAGGCGCAGTAGGGCATTTGCTAAACTATCTCGCAAAGATACATACGATCCGGAAGTCTAAAGGTTGACCCTATGCACACGACTCCTTAAGTTTAAAGATATATAAAGAAGTGTTTTCCTCAGTTGTGAAAAATATATAAAAATATGTTCTCTTCAAATGTAAAAGGTATATAAAGACATGTTCACCTCAATTGTATAAGATATATAAATATGTGTTTTCCCCTGAAGTTCGATACTGAATCGGGGTGTTCCTATCCGCTTATCTACTACAGGCCGTACTAGGGACAAGCTATAATTTTGACGACGGGGACGCCATCTGCACAGACTCATTCCAGTAAGTGTACTATTTCAGAAAAAGTGTGGATAAGTAGTATGAATAGTCTATAGCCATCATCTCATTCCTGTAAGTGTGTTATTTCTGAAAAAGTGTATTCTGTTATAATAGTAGAAAAGTCTATAGGCACTGTCTCATTGCAGTATGAGTGTTTGTTTCAGATTTACACACTTCGCTATATCCGTAAGTATTGTCCAATTACGCCAACTCATTCCTCTACAGATTTTGTTCGGATCTATGCCCCCCCCCCCACCCCAATATATATATTGCTTTTTTTACTTGCATATACACCCCCCTATATATGAATATATTTCTTTGCATATAGAGTACGTACGAACATAAAATCTAAACGTTTTAGTATCTAAAAGTCTTCTGCACACAAGCTGTTCCAACCACCGAAGGTCTCTTTCACCCGCAGTCGAACACCTTACACAAAGCACCAGCAGCCAATCACATCATCGCAATTATTTGACTACCTAGGAGGGCCGATCATGCAGGCCATACATACATACACACACACGCAGAAAGCATTAGCTACATACAAATATGCATTCTCATACATAGACCTGTGCATGTAAAGGTACCATTGTACATACAAGTGTTCCTGTGTCTGTATGTATGTACATACAAGTGTAACTGTGTATGTATGTATGCACATACGAGTGTATCTGTGTATGTATGTATGTACATACGAGTGTAGCTGTGTATGCATGTATGTATATACAAGTGTAACTGTGCATGTATGTATGTACATAAAAGTGTAACTATGTATGTATATATATACATACAAATGTATCTGTGTATGTTTGTACAAGCATATAGAGATACGCCTGCACATACAATCATGTATTCATCCGTATCTAAACGCCATATACACATATACAAAGCTTCAGACACACAAATGTGTTCCTGTACCTACAAATATACACGCACCTGTACACCTACACTATCGCCCAGCACCTGTACACCTACACCATCACCCAGCACCCCACCCACGCACTCACTCACTCACCCACTCACTGACCCACTCACTCAACACCCCCTTCCCCTTCCTACCAACAGCTCTACATACTCTTGGTTGCTTGCCAACCAGGCCAGTTGGTACGAGTGTCCGTCTGAGGGTGCCGCGGTCATAGACAGTGAGACGGTGGATGTACCAGAAACGGCGGACCCCTTCGGCGAGTGGTCTCAATGTACTGCGACGTGTGGCGGTGGGGTAAGCGAGAGGCCTTGTCTTGATCCAATGTATTGTATGGCCAATGAGTACCAGACCTGCAACAGCCAGCAATGCCCAGGTATGAGTTGAGAAGGGAAGGTGTATGTGTGTGGTATAGAGAAAGGTGTATGTGTGTGGTATAGAGAAAGATGTATGTGTGTGGTATAGAGAAAGCTGTATGTGTGTGGTATGGGGTGTGTGGATGTGTGTGGTATGGAGAAAGGTGTATATGTGTGGTATGGAGAAAGGTGTATGTGTGTGGTATGGAGAAAGGTGTATGTGTGTGGTATGGAGAAAGGTATATGTGTGTGTTCTGGAGAGGGGTGTATGTATGTATGTGTTTGAGTGTGTGTGTGTATGCTTGTTTGAGCGCGTGTTGCTATGGTTACAGACGTGCAACAGCCAGCAATGCTCAGGTGTGGGTGTGTAAGTATGTACGCGTTTGACACAATTACGATGTGTACTTAAACTAAACTTCGTAGTTCGATAAGTACTGCCGTACCTCGAGCTACCCGTATTACGTTTTGCGTGCACGTATACTTCTAGTACTGTATCACGCGTCCGCTCGTATTTACATTTTCTCCCATTAACTCTTTTAGTATTCTACTGCGCGCTCGCTCTCGATTTACCACACTTTCAGTCACACACACCACAGTACACAACTACACCACAACACCCCCAACCCAACCCAACCCATCGCCAACTCACGTGCCTCTCCTCTCCCCACCCACTCCACAGTGCCCTGCTCCTCGCTCCAGATCAGCCCAGGACAGGCGCTGCAAGAGGGCCAGTCCGCTGTATGGGCCTGTCCCACTGGCTTCGAAGTAGTAGGTGAGCAGATAGCCACTTGCACGAACAACCTAGTACAGCCGCCCGTGTGCCAGGACATTGACGAGTGTGCCTCTGCGAGTACACACACCTGCGATGCCAACGCGCTGTGCGTCAACACGGCCGGGGCGTACCGGTGTAAGTGCGCCACCGGTTTTCAAGGCGACGGACTGACGTGTCAGAGCAAGTTCACACTGGCGCAGGACGGGAGGCTGGAGTACGGCCTGCGCTACCTACAGACGTCGTGTGGACAGGCGGCGGCTATCACCGCCGAGGGTCACTTCCAGTTGTATGGGGATGACGGGGTGCCCTACTTCACCACGGCCGGAGCCGAACTTCGGGCGCCCGTGGGGAGCACTCGCTTGGGGGTGGGCCCTACCGGTGCGTTGCTGTTGGTTGATGAGGAGAACCAGGTATGTCGTGTATGTAGCACGAGCTGGGAAGGAAACGGATTGAGTTGAGTGGCGTATGTTTTGTCAATGTGAATGTACCTATGGTAACTGTCACATTGGGACCCATGTCGCGGATAAGCATGCGGCCAATGTTGGGCCAAGACAGTTAGGAAGTGCAAGCTCATATCATGAACTCTGTGTGTTTGCCTCGGCGTAGAGCGCCTTTCTGCAGGGGGTGTGTTATTCCCGATGTCCGCAGCTTACTCCTCAACCTGTCTTCCAGCAACTCAGTTTGAGTTCTGAAAAATAAATTTGGCGTAAAACAAACGAATACCAAATTACTCCTTTTGACACTAAAACCATACAAAATTTTCTTTCTAAACTAAAACTAGTGCCAAACCACTTCTAGAACAAAACAAATCGCGTTCTAATCTAATTGTACCGATTCGCCCGCCAAACTAATATCAAATCGCCTCTTTGAGAACTAAAGCTATACCAAGTTTTCTTTCTAAACTAAAACTCGTGCCAAACCACTTTCTAAACCAATACAAATCACGTTCTGAACGAATTGTACAAAATCGCCCGCCCCCTAAACTTAATACCAAATCGGTTTCTCATACCCACAGATAATATGGAGAGATGGCTACGACGGTGCCCAGGGCGAGAAAGTGGGGCCGTTCCGCTTGTTCTTAACCGAGAATGGTCAGTTAATCATCATGTCTGGCGCGGGAGAGATTGTGTGGGCGAGCACGTGGATGTCCGCATGCAGTCGGCATTCGTGAAGACACGGACATGCGTGGATAGGGAGAGAGGAGGAGACTGTACCTGGGTAAGGAGAAGAGGAGCACACATGAGAACAGAACTGGGATAGAAGGAGAAGAGAAGAACAGGGCATACTTCGGTACATAAAAGGAAGGAAAGACGGAGGAAGGAAGAAGTAACGCCATGTATAGTACACAGTAGTTAGGCCTGTTCCGGTCGCCAGGCAACATATAGTACGGTGCTCCGGTCGCCAAGCAACGAATGATACGCAAGGAAGTAGAGCTTGCTACGGTTGTCCCCCATAGCAACGGGAGTGACGGAGAGGATGAGAACGCCACATGGTAATGCTGCAGCAGATCAGTGTGCATGGTGTCGTGTCATGGTTTCTAACGTGCGGCCTTTGATAGACGCTTATGGACGCCATGCCACGAGAAAACGCGACGATAACAGTCAAAGCGGGACGAGATGAGAACTGTTAAACAGGGACGAGAACTTAAAACGGGACGAGAACTTAAAAAGGGGATGAGAACTGTTAAATCGGGACGAGAACTGTTAAACCGAGAACTGTTAAACGGGACGAGAACTGTTAAAATGAGACGAGGACTGTTCAATGTATTCTCATGAGGAGTACGAGGAGTGGGTGGAGTGGGGTATTTAACATATGTGGCCTGTTGCGCAGCTATTGATTGGACCGCAACGGTCGAGTCGTTAGACACTGAGACAGCCGCCAACCAAGCTCTACGGTCGCACGAGTATATCAGTAATCAAGCCAGAGCTTAACACGACACTCTCCTTGATCAAGACCACACTCTCTACTTAAAACAAAGACCACGCTCTTTGTTTAAGACGAGGACAGAGAAGAATATGAAGTAAGGCAGAACAACTTTGTGGAGAGTACAGTACAGCACGGGTCATGAGAAAGCCCGAGTGGGACAAGGCGGTGTAGATTGCATACGGCAACACTTAGCTCTAACGGTAAGTTAGAATATAGTGGCAGGCGAGAGAGACAATGGGGGAACGTAGATCGCAGGGGGAATGCGGTGCTATGCCTTGCAAACAACGTCCAAGTTGGACAAGAACAAAAAGATAACAGGATTGAAGAATAAAAAGATATAACAAACAGTACGATTTATAGATATATATAAATACACACACACACACACACATAAATATACATATATATATATACATATATACATGTATACATGTATACAT